TGTGGAATGCAAACACAAGTGTGCAGTAAACCAGATTGGGGCAGACAGTGCCCCAGCAAAAACATAACCCACGGCTGAAGGTGGAATCACACAGCCCCGAGAGGATTCGGGCTCCCTCCTCTCTGGTTTCGAGGTGCGTCACCCGAGAACTGCCACTGCCAAGTCACTGCAGCTCAGCAGCTCCTGTGTTGAGCGTCTGCCCCCTGGTGGTCAGTGCGTGTCATAGCGACCGGTCGGACACTTAGCATATTAGCCTTTTATATATAGAGGTGGTAGTTCTGACCAAAAAAGTTATGTTTAGATTTTTGAGGAACCACCATATTATTTTCCCTAGTGACTGCACTACTTTACATTCCCATCAGTAATCACAAAGGGATTACTTGCTGTTCCTGTTTTGTTTCGTTTTTTTATATAGCCATCCTAAGGAGTATGAAGTGGCCCAGAAAAAAACTCTCCCACGTGTTCTCTCACACAGCAACAGTGTTTTTCACAATAGCATAAAATGGATACAATACAAATGTCCATCAAGAATGTTTAATTGTAGTATATTCATCATATTCATATAATAGAATACCATATATATGGCAGGATGAAACATCAATGAATCTCAAGAACATAACTGGGTAAAACTTATAACTTATAAAATATGACATTCCATTTTAAAAAAGATTTAAAAACACGCAAAACTATATAATGTATTACTTAGGGATACATATGTCTTAAAACTAACTTAAAAATCAAAGAATGATTAAGTGATTAACAAAAAATAAATAACAGGATAATGGTTACCTCTGAGGAGAGTAGAAAAAAGATTTTTAAAGGGGATGTTCTTTTTCTTAAAGTCGATGGTGGGTACATAGATATTCGCTATATCATTTTTCTTTACTCCTTATATATCTTCTATAAGTGCTCTTTTATAGCCATTCAATATTTTCTAAAAAATTTTTTTAACTTTAAAAACCATTTAAACTTTAAAAAGGCATAGTGAGCAGTAAGAATCTGTCCTATGGCTCCCAAGACAAGAGTGAATCTAAAATAAAACTACTGAATCCAATCACTGGATTAGCATAATATTGAGAATAACTATTTCAACTAATAGATTCTGTTCACATATTCATACAACAAATATCTAGTGAGATTGTTCCATGTGCTGTGTATTATTTTAGTGGGTGGGGGTACAATAGCAGCAAAACAGATAAAAATGCCTGCCCTTGCACCTACATCTCCCACATCGCTGGCCTGATATTCAGAATCTGATGTAACTAACAGGTTAACTATTGGTTACCCTTCTGACTAATGCTCTAAGGACACTCATCCTATCCCAGAGACACAAAAGTCAGAACAGGCTTTGGGATGGCAAAATAGTCAGGGCTCTGAATACAAACAACATCTTGTCATCCTGTTCTCCTTTACCTAGGGCCAAGTCAGGGCTCTGAATACAACATCTTGTCATCCTGTTCTCCTTTACCTAGGGCCATGTGCTTACTTTGTGAAGGTACGGGATTTGTACACCAAAGGCTCTGCTCTGCCATTCTGATGAAGAAAATCATCTCGAGGAAATGAAGTCTGGTTTTTATCTGAGTTCCTTATGTTTTTTATAGCTACTTAATCTCAAGTTTTGGAGAAAATAACCAATTTTTTCTTTTCCAGTTATATTCTCTTTTTTTGTTTGTTTGTTAATCCTTACCCAAGGATATTTTTCCATTGATTTTTTTTTTAGAGAAAGTGGGAGGGGGAGAGACACAGAGAGAGAAACATCAATGTAAGAGAGACACATCAATTGGTTGCCTCCCACACGTGCCCCGACCAAGGTCGGGGATTGAGCCTGCAACAGAGGTACATGCTTTTGATTGGAATTGAACCTGGGACCCTTCAGTCTGCAGGCCAACTTTCTATCCACTGAACCAAACTGGCGGGGGCTCAGTTACATTCTTTAAGAGAATATACAGCAAATTCATTTTGGCATGAGGTAATGACATGTTGGGTATTTCCTGTTCTGGTGTTCTGGGCATTACAAGCATGTTTATACGGTCACTCACTCAGATCCACAGTGGCTCTGTGCACCACGCACCTGTGGTTATAAAGCCAGAAAGAGAAAGGGAGTGGACATTAAAAGAGGAAAATAAAAGTGCTACACTTTCAAGAAGGATCTACTCAATGATCATATGAAAAGGTCCTTTTCCTTGGCCTTTTGTTAATACTAGTACAAAAAGGCAAGGCACGCTAGTCCTTTCTGCTCTGCACCTCTCTAGCCTTATTAATATCTTTAAATTCAGTCAATTTCAACTCAAAACTTCCCACCAGTGGGGGAGGGGAAATGGGGAAAGATTTGTGGCTGCATGTTTAAGAAAGAAGCTGAATTCATCACAGTGACAGGGGAGACTGTTGGCAGAGATCTGAGCTATTTATTCTTTTAGGAAAATCCTATAAAGAATGACACAAGGAAGCCTCTATCTGCAGTCTTGTTCATCACACTGGTGAAGAATCCGATAACAGATGTATGCAGCAGCGTGATTTAGTGCCAGGAGCTGGCCCCTGATGTGTATTAATACAGCGGCAAAGCGGAACGCACCTCTCTTCATCAGTCATTTCTATAAAAGAGGTGGAATCTGAGATGGCCCAATGTTAGGCAGAGCAAGCCCATTTGTTCTACTGACTGATGGCGCGGGCTTGGGCTATGTCCTTCACCTCCATGGGGCACTCAGGTTGTGGATAGAAAAAAAAGAAAATGTTCAGTGAAGCAAGCCTTAGTCAACAAGTGAGGGGAGGAGTTTGGATCAGTGAGGGAAATGTTTAATGCTCAAATCTTGTTTAATACCTCCCAGAAAATTTCCCAATTTGAATATAGAATAAGGATTTTAAACTCTTCTCAATGTTTTCTTATAAACAATTAAAAGCAAAAAAACAGAAGCTGGACATTAAAGAGAAAAAAAGAACAAAAAGATAAAAGAGGGGAGACTGTGTTTTAATGCTTCCAATACCACAGACTGGATGAAGACCTGGGTTTTGAGCAGAGTCGTAATTTGGAACCAATCCTATCCTATGGAAGACCTAAGAGTGCAGCCCTAGAGTCACAGGGAAACCGGTCTGACCTTGGCTCTGCAATGTGCCAACCATGTGACCTTGGGGAACTGATTAACCTCTCTACGGCTCAAATATCTCATGTGTATTGGGAATAAAAACAGCATCCACCTTATAAAGTTGTTGCAAACATTAAGTGAGATAATGTATGCAAAGGGTTTAGCTTAAGACATGGCTATGTGGAAATCACTAAAAAAATTTACTATAGTCATTAGACCTGTGATTAAGATTATCCATTATCATGACAATCTTAGTCTGAACCATTATCAAGCAGTCTTCTCAAACAAAAGCTGCCGGTTTGGCTCAGTGGATAAAGCCTCGGCCTGCGGACCAAAGGGTCCCAGGTTCCATTCTAGTCAAGGTCACGTACCTTGGTTATAGGCTCCTCCCCAGCCCGGGCCCTGGTCAGGCCTCGGGCAAGAGGCAACCAATCGATGTGTTTCTCTCACATCGATGCTTCTCTCTGTCTTTCCTTCTCTTCCATTCTCTCTAAAAGATCAATGGAAAAATATCCTCGGGTGAGGATTAATAACAACAAAACAAAACAAAACAAAAACGTCAAACAGAAGCTTGAAGAGGTCAATTTCAGAGCATGCTGAAATTTCCTAAGTAAAGTTAGGGGAAAGACTTCCCCATCTGTCAAAGTTTTACTCTCTATTCAACTATCAATAGCTCTGCTCTATGTAACTTCCCCATATGTCAAAGTTCTACTCTCTATTCAACTATCAATAGCTCTGCTCTATGTACAATATACATAAATACGTATTTTATTATAATATATAGTCTTTTCTAAAGAAAATAAAATAGTTTATGATATACTCAATTTCCACAAAACAAATTCATTATCATCAAGAAAAGAACTGTAGGTGGTTACCAGAGAAGGGGACTGGGGATAGGTGAAAAGGGGAGGGAGCCAACTATATGGTGATAGATAATAACTAGACTTTTTTGGGGTGGACACTTTATATTGTATATAGATATCGAATTATAATATTGTACACCTGAAACTTACATAATAAAAAGACAGAAACAAAAACAAAAGAAGTGTAGGTATTTCTGATAGGTCCTATAACCAGATATGATCTTTTTATTCAGAGTAATTCATCCTAAATTATATTGAAATAACCTAAAGGATTGTCTATGATTACTAATTACATTTAATTATTTTCTCTGAACTCCAAAGAAAAAGATCTATAGACATCCAATATTCTTGCTGATATAAATAACTATCCCCCTTTGTTTTCATTTAAGGATAACATAGATGAAGTTAAGTGCATAAATCATAAATGTATGTAGTTCAGTGAATCTTTACATATAAATATACTCATGTAATCCCCACCTAGTTCATGATATAGAACATTTCCAGCATCCATGAGATTTTTTATGTCTTCTCCTGGTCACCAGTGAAAACCACTATTTTGGTTTCTACCAACTAGTTTTACTCAGAAAATGGAAAGTTTTTAACTTGAAAAGCTGTTTTTAATTAGGAATTTCATGATAGGTAAAATATTAGCACTCTATTATTCATAAAAACAGTGAGAAGTAAATAAACCCATGTGGCTCCTTGTCTACTGACTAAACTGCCACCCTACTGGGATTTTCATTAACAAAGATCTAATTTCTTATCTGTAATAGAAAAAAAGCGCAGATGACTGAAGATTATTTTTAGTGAAATATAGGGATTCAAACTTAAGAAACCCGTTTGACACAGTGAAAAAACAGACTTCAGGGTCAGACAGAACTAGGTTTAAATTCTTAAAATATGTGTAACCTTGGGAAATTACTTCTTGCATTCTCTGTTTTCCCACATAAAATGGGAATAAAATGACCTACCTCATCATAAAAGTTAAGTGGAAGGGTATATAAAACACATAATTCAGTGTCAGGTGCTCAACAAATAATAACTAGGGTCTAATTACCTGCATTTGGGCTAGACAGAGATGCTGTGGCCACAGGCTTTCGTTTCCTCTTGATATCACGTGAGCATGGGGGTCCCAAGTGTAGGCTTGCCTGTCTGCAGAGGTAACAAAGAAAACATACTGTTTCAACTTTATAATTCTCATTGTTTAAGACACTATGTGCAACCCAGATAAAATCCTTGACCCAATATAGATATACTAACAAAATCAGCATCATCTTTTGCTATCAAGTGTCAGTATAAGATCATTCACAATTAATCAGAATTCACTCTTTACTCACAAAATACACCGATTCTAAACTTTTTACCTGATTAGCAAAATAGCAGACATTCAAGATTAATTTCAGTAAATATGTGTTTCATTACATGCTGATTTTTATACATTTTTCATAAAAACAATAAACCTCAATTGTTCTAAACTCACTAATGAAATACCTACTCCCAAGCGGTAACATATTGAAAAGTTTAATGCTGCATGAACACAGACATTTGCATAGAATTATAATAGGAAGTTTAACCCTTCTATCACTATACATCCATATTTTTAATAATGTCTGCATAGCAAGTTGTTTCTGTGATTTTAAAAAATATAAATTATGTGCTAATAATATGTCCCCTTTCCGAATGTTCAGCTTATTTTAAAAACAAAATAGTGAGAATTTCAACATTAGAAAAGCAAAAGATTCTCAGAAAGACAATGGGCTATTTTAGTTCCCCACTTCCTCTTTCCTCTCAAACTAGATGGATATTATGTGATTCAGACCAAGCTGAGTTTCATCTTTACACAAAGCTTTCCTTGAGCATTCAAGGCCTTACCTACCATGAATTATTATTTAACTGCTGTACATGTATCTTGTTTCCCTAATGAGGCTTAATCTTCTTGAGAACAGGGACCATATTTGTGTTTCTTTCATAATTTTCCAATGTTCTACCAACCTCAGAAGGCGCACAGCTGATCCCCATTAAGTATCTGTTGACTAGATCTGATATGAATGAATAAAAGTTCTAAAAACCAATAGCCAATTGTACATTTAAAATGGTAAATTTGGTTATGCATATTTTATCACAATTTTTTAAAAATAGCCAGAATATGTAACATATAAAAAGAAATCCAGTAAAATTATACTGGATGAACTCCTAATTGGTAGTCCTAGCTGGGGATCAAGTCTCATGGCTTGGTAGTCTTGAAACTGGAATCTCAGTCAAATCTAAGAGAACCTGGTTAGCAAGGCAACAAGACAACTGTTGAATGGACAAATTTTCCTATGGGGGGAGTGGGGGTTGCCAATCTGGCAACTTTCAGTTTAAAAGTACATATGTGTATGTGCTCGCGCTTACTCCCTCCCTCCCTCCCTTCTTATCTCCCTCTTTCTCTTTCTCACATGCTCTTTTCTCCAAATAGCAAAAGCTTAAGACCATCCAATTTATAAGCAAGAAAGATAAAAATTTGACTGAAATCATAAGAAAATATATGTATGTGCTCGCGCTTCCTCCCTCCCTCCCTCCCTTCTTATCTCCCTCTTTCTCTTTCTCACATGCTCTTTTCTCCAAATAGCAAAAGCTTAAGACCATCCAATTTATAAGCAAGAAAGATAAAAAATTTGACTGAAATCATAAGAAATGTTTTAGAATGCAAGGAACACCAAAATAGACAAAGATTTACACTAGAAAGCCTGTGGTTTGGCAAAGTCCATCCAAATCACTTTTTATTGATCACTCTCGTCTATATGGGAAAAAGAGTTAACTTTAGGTTAAGTATCCCATGAGTAGTTAATTCCAAAATTCCAACGTGAAATGTGTGAATGTAAGTGTGTAAAGAAGGGGAAACAATTCATCTTTCATACCTTACATAAGTCCCGGAAATAAGTTTAAATCAGCATGCTGATTTAATAAGAAACACAGACGACAGAATGTCAAAAGTAGACAGGCCTTTAGTCTAAATGCAGAGATGGTATGGTAATTCCTTTTGAAGCCAGACAAGGACAGAAAAGAAACCGATGCTATAAAATCTGTTTCTCCTCAAAACAGAGAAATGTACAGAATAGTTTCCATCTTTTCTACAAACAAGGTAGTTCAGTAAATTCAGACCCAAACTCAAACTGCCCAGGCACTTTGTTCTAATTCAATCCTGCTTCTCCTAATGTACTTGAGAAAGAGAAACAAGTCAAAGGGTAACAGTTCATATTCACGCACTTTCTTCTTTACCAGAAGCTCATTCTAGGACTCTCCAAAACTTCTTAGATTAAATGTAACACCATTTCTTCAAACTAAACACTGTTATGAGACATCAGGACAGTGGTACTTTTGAGCTGCGGGGTGTGGGGAAGAGGGTCAGTGGCTAGGAGCTTCTGGGGTTTCTGGTAATGTTCTGTTTCTGGATGCTGAAAATTCATCAAGTATATATTTCTTTATAAAATTCTCTATATGTACATTGTCCTTCAATTAATTTTGAAAAACATTGCTTCTTCAAGATCAATGTTTATAAAATACTGGGCTTTAGGAAATAGATGCAAAATAAAAAGCCTAAGAAAAGTACTTCAAGGGCTTTAAGATTTTAATTCTCAGAGTATCAACTTGGGCTGAACTAAATAAATCCTGCCTTTTATTTACACACTAGTCATCATTTTCACAGTTTTGCATATTTGATATATGTCAGTAAGATGGTTAAGGGCACCTATTATATCACCACTCCTTATGGCCTTGGTCAATATCATTTATCTCACTTTTTCAAGGAATGACACATTTTGGAGTAAAAAGATAAAACTATGTACCAATGTTTAAATTTTTGACCATTTTAAATAGAAATACTGTGGTTTTAAAAGATACTTATTTAAGTATGAAATTAAGTATTACTTACCTGCAGCTATGCACATAGATTATTAAACGGCACTATATTCTGCAATGTCTTTAGGGGACCGCTGTGAACACAAAGGCTCAGGTGGTCCTTATGATGCCCTGCCCCTCTGGGCCACGGTTCTTGGATCCCCACTCTTCCCTGCTCATTGATGGTACAGACTTCAGGGTTAATTGTCCTACATTAAATGCCCCCCAACTGCTAAGCCTCCAGCCTGTTACTTTTCTCTGTGGTAAATGTTCTACTTCTACCACTTCATTCCTAGTTAAGTTCTGAGGAGGGAGGAAGAGAAACAGTCAAATTATTATAAAAGGACAGTAAGACACTGTCCTTGTTTTGGGTTTCAAGTAGACACTAGTCATGGGAAAATCTACTTTTTTACAGGTTGGGAAAATCTACATTTCCCTGTGAGGGCTCTGTCTGCTTGGAAAAAACCTTAGAGGACTACGAAGGAAGAGAACCCAGAGCAAGCCCGGGGAAAGCAAGGAGGAAGCTGGATGCTTGCAGCAAGAGGATTTAAAGGAGACAGGACATGGAACCCGCCACGCTGCAGAGCACATTCAGAACACAGAACAGCCCTGGTCAGGAGTAATGAACAATCTATGTGAGGCTGGAACCTGAGCATGAGGCAGGAAACTGCTGCAGCCTCAGCTTCCTATTCAAGAGGTCGTTTCCATTTTTTGTTTATCCCAAAATAATTGCCTATCAGTCAATTGCAGACATAAAGAATCAAGAATGAGAAGGAAAAATACACTGATCTACCCATTTCACTTTGTAGTATTTAACCACCTTGGCTTCTTTTATTTTTAATGTGCTATTTCTTTAATTTGTGTTATTTTACTCTGACAGTATCACTGTCTACTCACAAGATATAAACTGAAAAGGGCATTGAACAAGTGAGATATCACAAAAGACACAGAAAAAGAGCCTGAGCTTCCCCTTCTACACACACAGAGCCCCTCGCTATAGGAGAAAGGGCAGGTTTAACTAGATTTTTTTTTTTTAAGTGTAGGTGTTATCCCTTCATGTCCTCATTCTCATCTGTCCCTTCAGAGTGTATTACTTAACTCCCCTTTCCTACATGAATGTGTTCCTGCAAACAAGTCAGCCTGAGTTCTTATTTCTTCAGCTTTTGGTGTTAAGCAGCTTTTGTTAATTAGATTTTTAAAAACTCTTTTTCAAGAGCAGTGTACAGTTGTTTTTGTGTTGCAAAACGAGGTACTATATGTGGGGGGAGAAAAAAGCTAGATATAAATTAAGCTAAAATGTCTACAAATTATTAAAACTTCCTTCTCAATTGAAGCAGCAAATGTTTATCAGAATGATGTAAGAAGCTTTTAAAAAATACACAACCCCCACCATGCTGGGGTGGGAGAAGAATCAGTAATATGTTTATTTTCAAATTTCTTCTCAAGTACTAGTAATACCAGTATGTTTCTACCCATTGTGGAAATTACTGAGTTAAAAAATATACCAAATTTCCAAAGCTAATAAGCTAATCAATAAAAGAGATCTAAATATTTAACTTAAAGAATAACAAGATGATTAAAATTAATATAAATGTAGACAAAAATACTGTTCCCCAATATATAAGTAATTAACCTACAGAAAAGACAGGCTAGGCCTGTTCTGTTTCATCTGATGGAGCCTCAGTATTCCTCAGCCCTGCTTCACAGCATGAAGCCAGTACTTCCCCTAAAAGCATCACATTCAGCAGCATCCGCCCAAAAAAATATATGGGGGAAATGAGCATTAAAAGGGACAAATACAGTCTTTAAAAATGTCTTACTTCAACCTGGCCCGTGTTTCGGGCTTGATCCCCAGTGGGGGGTGTGCAGGAGGCAGCCCATCGGTGTTTCTCTCTTATTTTGATGTTTCTATCTCTCAATCCCTCTCCCTTCCTCTCTCTAAAATCAATAAAAATATATATTTTTTAAAATTCTTACTTTAGGAAAAGTCACTACATTCATATAATATAAGTGTGAAGGTGAATGCTAAAGATGAACAATTAACTGAAAGAATATTCTGTATATCCTTGCATAAACACATTTTTATTTTATTTTTTTACTGCAGGTAACCAAAAGATCAGGTGAGTTTTTAAAACTGCAGTGTTACTTAGGAAACTGGGCAGATCACTATGTCCCTGGGGCAGGAATGTACTTTTAGGGGGAAAAATTACTTTGAGAAAAACATGCATGTTTAATAGAGCCAATGTTGGCAAAAAATAACTGAAGTGACTGCT